TGTAAATTGGTATACTGACCCAACAGGCAAATGATCATGGATATGTGTGAAAGGCATGATTTGATCATTTGTAACAGTACTGAGAAGTGAGAAGGGCAAATAACATGGGAGGTAGAAAGGCTGCAGTCACTGATAGATTATGCACTGGTGTCACATAGGATGTGTGATAGGCTTAGGGGAATGCACATACATGACTGCGGCTCCAGAAGTCTGGGTAGTGATCACAAATGCATCAAGCTAAGTTTTGGCAGAGCAATGAAAGTGGGAAGGAGACAAGAAGAGCAACAACAAGGGAATTGTTATTCAGAAAGGCAAATATAAATAGCTACTAAACAAATTGAGATAGTAATCATGAGGATAATAAAACAGTGTGGACGTACACGAATCTAATTAGACTGTTTGAGCTAGAGCTTGCTAAGACACGCGACAAGTCACCCCGGAAAAGGAGACACAAACCCAAGAGTTGGTGGAATGAGGAAGTTAAGAGAGCCATAACAAAACGTCAGGAAGCCTCTAGGGAACACAGGCATGCTAAGCAGTGGGGTGAACCTACAGATGGTTGAAAGAAAATGGGGTATCTTTCTAAGCTGTAGAAGGGAAGCATCCCTTCTGATCAATGAAAAGATTAGTAGAAAAGGAGCTCAGTGGCTGGCAGAAGTTCATTAAAAGAATATAAAGCCAGCTGCAAAATTTTGAAACCATCTAAACTCACTAACAAGTGAGACAAGCCTGGAGCAGAGGCTTATAACTACAGCTCAAGGTGTCAGACTAGAAGGGGACGAAGCTATTGAATATATAACAACAAGGGTGACAGAAAAATTTCAACAAAGAAGTGCCTTGTGCACCTTAATAAACAATGATGGATCAAGTGGTGCAGTGGCTCTATTTTAACGAGAGGAGAGTGGGAAAGGGCTGAGAAGAGGGTTCCTAGTTGTACATCAATAGGCCCGGATGGCATCCCAATTATGCTGATAAAGACATGTCCCAAGTCTAAGCAGACTTTGAGAGAGGAAGCGTGCAAAACAATAATCGATGGGGAAGTCTCCGATGGATGGAAACTTAGCAGTATGAGCATGATCTATAAAGGAAAGGGGGACAAAGCTGGCATAAACAAGTACCGTCCGATAACAGTGACATCAGTGGTCTACAGGCTCTGGTGATGCAGATTATAAAGGAAAGACTGCAGGCATGGATAGAGGATGAGGGGTGCTAGGGGAACTGCAGAATGCTTTTTTGAAACACAGGAGGTTGAAAGACAATCTGTTCTCACTGATGCAGTCCATTGAAATAGCAAAAAAGGAACACAGGCTCCTGTGGCTAGCATTTTTGTATATCAAGACAGCGTACTATACCATGGTTCAAGTGGACTTGTGGGGAATACTGGACACACTAGGTGTGGAAGATCGAGTCGCTAATCTTTGAAAGGATATCTATAAAAGTAACAAGATAGTTATAAAATGGGAAAAACAGGTATCCAAGCCCACAGAGATAAAACAGGGGTTTAGGCAGAAGTGTCCTCTGTCACCCTTGTTATTCATGATGTACCTACAAGGATTAGCAGCCGAATTAGAGGGGAGTGGACTTGGTTTCAAGCTCTCATTCATCAAACAAGCAAAACTCACCGAACAGGCACTACCAGCATTGATGAACGCAGATGATATAGTGCTAATGGCCGACAACAAGGAAGATTTGCGTAGATTGATGGACATCTGTGATAATGAGGGAGATTGGTTAGATTTCTGATTCAGTAAGGAAAAATCAGCAGTCATGATTTTTAATGATAATAAAGGTAGTGAGCTTAGGATACAGGAGGTCTCGCTAGAGATAACAGATAAATACAAATGTCTGGGTGTATGAATAAGCAATCGGACCGAGTACCTAAGGGAACACGAAATATACGTAACGACTGAAGGTAAAAGGAGTGCAGTGGTGATGAAAAATAGGGCGCTGTTCAATTACAATAAGTATGATGTTGTGAGAGGAATATGGAAAGGGGTCATGGTTCCTGGTGTGACGTTCGGCAATGCGTTCTTGTGCATGAGGTCAGAAGTTCAGGCAATATTAGAAATTGACCAACGTGGAATAGGTAGGCTTGCTTTAGGAGCTCATGGGAATACACCAAATCTGGGAGTACAAGGTGATATGGGATGGACATCATTTGAGGGCAGGGAAGCTAGCAGCAAGATTAAACTTGAGAAGCGATTGAGAAAAATGAAGGAGGAACGTTGGGCTAAGAAGGTTTTTCAGCTACTTGTACATGAAGAATGTCGATACAAAATGGACAAAGCAAACCAGAAAATTGATGGGTAAATACTTAGAAAAGAGCGGGGGGCCAAACCAAAAAAAGCTATCGGTTAAGAAAAAAGTGAAACGGAGACCGACATATTAAGAAATCCGCACTAGAGATCTATCGAACTTTTAAGCAGGAGACTGCCGAGGAAAGGATCTATGATAACACTTGGGGTAGTTCTCTACTGTTTGAGGCCAGGACGGGAGTATTGCAAACCAAGACATATCGAGCCAAATACGAAGGGGAAGACACGGTATGCAGTGTGCGTGGAGAGGAAGAGGAAACTGCCGAACACTTGATAATGTTCAGTAAAGGGCTTCACCCTATAGTTCAGGATGATGGCGCAGAGTTTTTCAAAGCACTGGGGTTTAGGGACAAGGAGGGCAAAATAGACTTTAAGCGGGTAGAATTAACTAGAAGGAGGTTATCTGATTGGTGGCTAAAGTCAAGGCACGAGTGAAAATTAAACCCTTCACTGCAAAGTACCAGTCCTCGACTTCACTATTTAAAGAAAAAAAAGATTAATCTAGTTGTTGCTTCAATAAGTATTACAGCTAGGTGGCATTAGCCGCCGCCCCATCTATATCTAAAGGATGCAGCCATATCAATGGATCCATCCGTCTGCCTCTGCCTGAGGTGACACAATCACGGTGTGTAAAGGAGTCAAGTTTCTCCTCCTGTCTATTCCTCCTCTGTGGTTTCGTGCGTCATTTGTGTGTGAGAAACGCGGGGCACGTTTCGATCTGCTTGCCATTCTTTGAGTGACTTTCCAATTTGTTTTTATCGCGTTAATTGCTTCGCCTTTGCGGCAAAGCTGTGACTTTTCGTATTATATTCCACTGCGGTGTGACTACCGTATTTCAAGATGCTGGTGAGATGCCCGCTCACGTTGTGTCACCGCTCTTACAGGCAACAATGAACGCTGCCCCCCCCCCCCCCCCCAAAAGAAATAGAAAGAAAGCTGCAGCTGCGCCCTTCGTGGCGAGGAAAGCTCCGCCTCAGCCGCTGCATTGCAAAGCTCTTCCGTTTGCACCACTAAATGTAACTGTGTGTAAGCGGGCGCAGGGTTCACTTTCAGGGAGGGGGATGTCCGTTGCAGGGCCCCCTTCCCTATAATATCGATGTATGTAGCTTGCTTTGTGCCCTCCCCTCTCACCATCCTCCTGTAACTGTGGAACAAGCTATGCATTTCACAATCAGTGTCTAGCTTTGAGTGATTTTGTGTTCAAGAGGCCACTATCGCTATGGTTCTCAATCAATTCCTGGCACAATATATCTCTCTTTTGTAAATGATTCATGTATAGAAATACTTTCTACTGGCATTGTCAGGTGACATCAGTTCAACCCCCCCTTCATCCCCAATAATCGTTACTGCCTCTGTCCTTGCTGGACATTAAACTTTGGGACTGCGGCTCGCAAGGTGAGGTATGTTGGAGACCCCTGGTATGGACGATTTTACGTATGCCGTGTCGACGAAGCCACCTTGGGCTGTTAAATTAATGTTTTCTAACTTTTGTATTTTGTGGCGTGAATTACTAAAGGTCACGAAATGTCGAATGCACTGACCAAACTGTTATCGCGTGCATGCATGCATTTACAGTAGCACTGTATATGAAACAGCAGAGTAAACAGCCCTTTACCAACACCCATTCTGCCGCACGGGAGTAAAATGACAGGAGGAGACAGAGGTTGTGCGTGCGCCCATCAACTCGCAGCTCTCAGTGTACTTTCTCTGCCGGACCGACGGAGAGAAGGAGGCGTGGGAGGGACACAACCCGCTGAGGAACGACACAAGCCTCTGGGCACAAGCCAGTTGCGCATGTCCATTACTGTGATGAAGAATGTGTGAGGAGGAAAAATCTGAAAACCGTGAAGGCACAGGTTGGTGGCTTGCTTGAATGCCAGTGGCAAAAATAGCAATCGGAGCAGCGGCCCGCATGCTGCCAAGCGGTACGTTCTCGTGAAATGCAGCAAGTTTTTAGGAACATTTCATTAATAGTTTATGTTGTATTAATAGCCATGCTGAGTCACTTATCTGCAAGAAAAGGAAAGAAAAGCAGGTGGGAGAGGGACAGTAACAAAGCTATAGTTTAATATGTATGCAGTATGTGCGCATGTTTGTAAAGCAGTGGCAAGTATTAAACACAGAGTTAATTTTACATGTGGTCATCACATGGCCCAAAGTCTGCATGTGGTGAAGGGGGAGGGTCAATTTGGCAAAGTGGATACCCACAGCCTGAATGACCTGCCCCGCACATGCATTTGTTCGATGTGTGTGTATTTGTTTATTTATACATGCATGCGTGCATGTAAAGCACGGGCATTTCTGTGTGCAGGTACTGTTCTTGCATCAATGTCTTAGCTGGGCCATATGGGAGGTTGTGGCCATGAGCATGTGCAGGGTACCCCATCATGGTGGGGTGGTGAAGGTGCTTCACAGCACCCCCCTCAATATGAAGTCAACATATGGGGTAGACCTTGCACCCCCTTCCCCCTCAGGTGATAGTGGCCACAAATGCAAATTGACTGAATGGTAATTATGCAAGTGAATGGTAATTATGAATGGTAATTATGGATACATTCAACAAGAAGTGCTTAAACCTGGCATCATCTCCTGTCAGAATGTTTGTGGTAATTTTTTTCTCTTCATAAAAATTTTATTGTAATAGTACAATAAAACGTGGTGGCATGTTTCCGATCTGCTTTTTAGGCTTGGCCTGGAGAGGGGCAAGACGGCTCGCGAGGCACTGGATGTGATTGTAGCACTGCTGGAGAAGTATGGCCAGGGTGGTCCCTGCTCTGACACGGATCCTTCGTTCACATACCACAACAGCTTCCTTATCGCTGACTGCACTGAGGCATGGGTGCTTGAGACAGCTGGAAAGCTGTGGGCAGCCGAGAATATCAAGAGTGAGTGAAGATTGCATTTTAAATCTCTTTCTTTCGTTTGTCTTTCCATCGGTTAATTTATTTGTTGATTATTACGAAAATGGAAGAGGAGGAAAGGGGATCAGAAGAGATGATCTGGTTTTTTATCTAGCACTAGGTTGTGAATTGCGAGGAGGTAGAGCTTATGTTATGTGCCTGTGCACCAATAGTTGGAGCGCTGTTTTGCTGGCTATATTTCTCAGTTTCATTGAGAGGTGAATTTGGCCGGTCACGTTCAAGTTGTACATAGTACTAAGAAACCGCAAATACATTTGACTGTTTATTTCATGGCACACTCAAACCTTGATATAATGAACACAGATATACTGCAATGTTGGTTTTAAGGCAGTAAATGAAAAATAGTATTGCAGTATTGGTATAGATAATACAGTGTTTGGAATTTACCTTTATAAATAATTTTCGGATAGAACAAACTATTTTCATGTAACATGCAACTTCGTGATAATGAGCTTTGAATGGACTGGTCGCTTTTGATGCTGTGGCGACGTAAATCACATTTGTTTGGTTGAACTTGAGCCCTCTGGCTTTGTTTAGCTGGTCCTTTCAGAGCACCACTCTTCAGCTCAGAGCACTCTGAGGCACTTTAGCACAACTGAGATCTGATCATCTGGCTCCTGCGCCTGATCTGTTTGCAACAGAAGACATGGTGGCATGTTCCCTCTTCTGGCCTCTGATTGCTCTGGCAAACGGCTTCACGCTCGGCTCAGACATGCATTCTCTTGTTCGAATCAAGAGCGGGCACTGCATTGTTGCATTCTGAGTTGGAGCTTGGTGGTGAACAGTTTAATGTACCATCAGTGTATCAAGCTCGGGCTCAGAGCACTTGGAGGCGCTCTCACCTTTGACCTCATAGGGCGACTGAGCTCTGGTGTCCATCACCGTGCCATCGTGGTGGCAACATTATGAAGCATGGGCACCTCACTTGTTGACAACTGAAGGAATGTTGTCATGTTCCCTATTTTGGCCTGCTAGAGACCTGGCAAAGTGACTGCATGTGTAGGTTGTCCCCACTTTCAGTGGCTCCATTCAAGGAGAGCAGTATCCACAATGTTGCAGTGTGAGTCAGAGCGTGGTAGGGACCAGCAAACATTTCGGTTTTTACATATGCACTATGTATACTGTTTATGACCACGAGTTATTTGTTTCGTGCAGTACGTATGAGGCTTACTCAACTGTACTTGTCTTGGTCTTGACCTAGGCTTATCACTTTTTATACCACTGATCTTTCAAGTTGACTAACTAGCCTGCTGTGCCTATTCCTTCCGCACCCGCAGCTGGCTGCAGGAACATCTCCAACTGCCTTTCCATTGAGACCAAGATTGACTTGTGTAGTGAAGGGCTGAAGGAGGAAGCCAAGAAGCGGGGCTTCTGGGACGACAGCCGGGGGGACCTAAATTTTCGTCTAGCATTCAGCACGGGTGAGGTCGACAGCCGTTACACGTGCGGCAAGCAACTTCTCGAAAAGCTGTCCGCAAACGGTAAGCCTTCTATACTTACACGCGCTACACCAGCATCTACTTTGCAAGAATATTTTGTACACTTGACAATGTTGTGGTCGGAAGCTTGAAAACATTTTAAGCTTTAAATCGAAAAGAGAGAGAGAGAAAGAGACGTAGATACAAACTTTAAATATTGTTATACTAGAAATAACACAATAGCTTGTCACCTCGCTTGCTAGAAGTAATAAGTGATAAATCTATTAGGTGTAATTTTCCAAACTAGCTTCAGAAGCATAGGTGGTAGTTTTGATGGCATCCCATGTGGTGGTGCACTCCTTTTTTTTGTCAGGCAAGGACTGTTGCTGAAGAGAGGAAGAAGGAGTGCAATTGCAGTGGTTTGTTCTGGCTTCGCTATTCTCCTTGCCAATCCTGAGGTTGCATGCAGTGGCTCTTGTGCGTATTGGCACAATGAGCTCACAGTGTTGTTCGATATCCACTTACCCTACTGCTCTGCTTTATAGTATATCACATTTAATAGGTATATACAGTGATCATGCAGCATCCAGCCACAGTCACGCGCATTCGCAGAGGAGTTATTTGGAGTGTTTTATCTAAGCCTGTTGACTTCAAAAACACCAGCAACACTTTCTTGATCTAAAATGCACAAGGAGTGCTTTTGCAGGGTCCAGAAATGAACTGCAACTGCTGCTTTCAGACTTTATCTCGGATGAGTAATGGCAGCAATCACACAAAATGCACTGTAAGCCTTCTGGAGAACTACTTTGCATTACGAACACATTGGCAGCCCAACACCATTCTTTTACCATAGTGTTGTAGGAATTTCAAGTTGTCGCTTCATCATTGAAAGTTAGTTTGTAATTAAAGGCAATAAGTACAGTATACTAGTGAAAGTTGGTAAGTGACTTAATTTGTATGCAGTAGATTCTTACTAAACATAACCTGAAGAAATCAGGCAGAATTGTTTCATTTCACAAGAGTTTCGTTCACTAAGAGATGAATAGAAATTCAGAATACAAGTGTGAAATCAATCATATCAGAGGCAGCAGTTTGGTTTGAGAGATCTTCGTTCAATGAGAGTCTACTGTGCATTTATACTTGAAAGATTTCAACTTCAGGTAACGGGTAAGGGCCCGTGAAGTGGGCCTTTTTTCTATGTGCCATATATATAATGAAGCTTTGTATACTCTATAACAAACATGCTTTGTATATATTCAAAGCTTTAGCTTGGGCTAGCTGCTGTATCGGATCATTTGCTTGTTGTGGTGGAGCAGTGCAGTAAAAACTATGTAACATGTGCTTGACCACTTATGATTTCGGGTCGCTAAGGCAGTTCAATAAATGAGAGAAATTTGAATATTTACGCTATAGAGCATGAGTTCTCAAACTAGGTTCCACGGCACTAAAGGGTTACAGTTTTGTGAGCAGCCGAAACGAGTGCAGCCCAATTCAGTTTCACACCTAATAAATACCAAATTATTTCTTTGAACGAGCAAAATAAAATGACATTTTGCATTTGATATAAGTCTATCGCAAGCTGCATCCCAACATCGGGTGTCTGCGGGTTGAGAGAAATTCGCACCGTAGCAGCACTAAAGATTCCTCGGGTAGTGCGCATCATGCACGATTTATGAACTTGCTGTGACAGAACGCGTGGATCACTGGCATTTCATGCTCGTGAGCGTTCAAATTGTGTCGAACAACATCAGCGGGCACCTAGGCACTTTATTCGTGGCTCATGGCACATCGACGACCATGTGGCACAGTTTTCATAATCAGTTTTATTATTAAAACAAGGAACAAGTGCTTCGATTCGCATGAGATGCATCATTTTGTGCCGTCTGTGGGGCACGAGGCAGCTTTGCGACTGGTGCATTGGTCGATAACCATTTGGCAGTAGGACTGGCATGCCTTCTTTTTGTTTTTATTGCGATGTCAATTATATAGACTGTCTCCACTGGTTTTTACCGTTGCCAACACTGCCATCATGCACCCTATATATATATATATATATATATATATATATATATATATAGGAAAACTCAAGAAAGAAAAAAAGCCGCCCGCACTTGACACACAGCTCCTCACGATGCGCCAATGCGTGCTTATCTCCCACGCATACTTTGCCCCACGCATTGGGGTGGGGGGTTTAGGTGCTTGTGTGCTCGCGCTTATCCTTTAGTGGAGAGAATTGTGTGCCTAGACCTTTCACCAGAATGATTGCGTTAGTTGCCTGGGCCACAAAGGTCAACTTCGCTCGCTGGGCAGGCCCAGTTTGCGAAAAAGCGCACTTTTCAAACACAGCAAAGTAACAACTGGGACGCTCGTTAGTTCGCACTCATATCTGTGCCTGTCATTACTTTTCGTGCATCATTTTTGTTTAAACAGCACGTTAAGTGTCGAGTTGTAAATGTTTTTGGTTAGCTCTCGTCCAGTGTGTGTTGTTTACGTGTGTCATTCGTGCATGTTCAAGGCACTGCACGTTACGATCTGCTGGGCGTTCTCAGGGTTACGTTCCAAGTTATTGATATCGCATTCATTGCTTCGCCCTTGCAGGGAGACTGTTACTTTTTGTTTTGAAAGAAATAAAACAGGCCTTTGTATGTCTGTCTATTACAGGGAGTTCTACATTCATGGTGATGGTATTTGATATGAAAAAAGGAAAAAAATGTAGCAGACCAACGCAGGCAGTGTAATACACTGGTTGTGCGCGCCACAACCACAATTTAAATACACTGCCCTCTTTGGCAACCTTAAAAATTTTAGGCAGATGTTTTTTCTGCTCTCTTCTGTGTCAAAAGCATGCAAAAGCTTTGATCCATGCATATGTTCAGTTTTACACTTAACTTTTTATTTATGCTAGTGTACACTACACTGTCTTTGTGCACACACCATTCAAGTCACTCCTTACTTCCATGAACATATACTAAACGTGCTTCTGTTGCATATCGTAGCGTTCACTGTCGTGTGTGGTAGGTTAGTATGTGCAATCTGACGAAGGCATCCCTTCTGTTTGTTTTTCTTCTTTCTTTTCTTTTTCTGTAGAGGGAATTGGAGAGGAGGAAATGATGAGGGTGCTCAGGGACAAGCGTAGCGGCATTTGCATGTCCTCTGGCTCCTTTGTGTCAACAGGCAGTCAGGTACACGCAACACCTTATGCACCCTTTCTGTGTTATTTTCTTTTCTTTGCTCAGTGGTATAGCCACCTCACCGAAAGCTGGTACCGTAATGAAACTGGAACTTCCTGGAACTTCCTGCCTACTGCGACATGCGATATGAAATCTCTTAGTGCCAGTGGAGAGGTGGCTGTGATAGAGAATGGGACATTTCATGAATCATATCAAACCACAAGTAGTTTTCTTCTCTGCAAGTAAATCTACAAGATACCGACTTATGTGCAGTTTCAAAGATTGTAGCTAACTGGGCTGGCTGCATTTTTTTTTAGCTTGAGGTCGTCCTATTTGATGTCTTCGTTTGTTAGAATTGTACCTCTGGCTGGGCTTACAGAGCGGTGTAGTGTTGTTGGAAGAATGAATGGCATTATAAGGACTTGCACTTCGTAGTCTCGGGAAGCAGCCCATTTGTCCTATTTGGTAGACAAGCCGTGCAGGTGTTTCCCAATAGCGTTCACAACAGGGGAGATATACCAAGCAGTGGCCAGAGCAGCAGCTGCTATTAAAAATGGGTAAGCAGCAAAAAAAAAATCAAAATTCTGTCAAGTGCTTTGAGAAAGTCTTGGGTTTCCTTTTACATCTTCAGTGAGTTATGTCATTCCTTCTAAATTTTGATTGTAGCTTCCTGGTCACAGTGTCCAGAATCTTTATACATATAAGACATGTCATTCCTTCTAAATTTTGATTGTAGCTTCCTGGTCACAGTGTCCAGAATCTTTATACATATAAGACGTATTGTGCTTGACAAAGTAATCTTAAGACCCTTGCAAGTATAATCATATTTAAGTAGTTTTAAATGCATTTTTTTTATTTTTTCCTATCCCTTCTTCACAATCATATGTAGCTGTGTGTCTGACAGGACTATAGCTTTAGTTAGCTAAAAATAAAGCCCAATCAGAAAGTTTGCCTGCCTATCCAGTACTAGTTAATATGAAAGAAGGCTGCATTGCTCTTGGAAGCATTGAGTTCTGTTCCTAAATTGTGTTGTTATCATTTTAGTTTCCTTTGACTTTTGAGTTTTAGTGTAATAATACGACTTCATTTTCATGTTTCAAGTTAAGGAGTAAGTTCAGAATGCATACCTTCATTACCTCAGTTCTGAAGTTCTCCTGTACAAAACAAAATTAACATATACATGTGATTTCCATTTGTTCTTTTTCTTTTCTTTTTTAATACTAACCTACTACTTTGCTTTGATCTAGAGAACACTCTTGCAAGACACACATTGATTATTTCAAGCGTGGCACGAGTTACCCAAGACACCGTGTGTGGTATCAACATGTGGGTAGTAAAATTCGAGTGCACTGATGGAAATTGTGCACTAAAAATAATTTTGTCGGAAATGTGAACACCTAGTCAATCACGTCACAGTTTCAGGGAGAATGCGCAATACAAATATGGCTGATATTTATGTGCCTGTCAGGAGAACTGAAGTTGCCATTTATTTACGCAACAAGCCCCAGTTCATCTTTCTCTAACAGCACCGATGATGCTTTTTTGGTGCGGATTTTTTTATTTTTAGTTCTCCTGTTGATGCCTTGCCTGGCGAATAATGTCTTCCTGAACGAGTTTTCATTTGCCAGGAACTGAACGTACCAGGCACATAGCCAGGATTTTTTTCAGGAGGTCAAGGCCTAATTGTTAGAAAAAAAGTCTTTTCATGGCAAATAGAAAGAAATTTCTTGCCTGGGAATATTGGAGGTGCTTAACTATTAGAAGAAAATGAGAACAAAATGGAATGTAGCACTAGGGGCGAGTTAAATCAATGATGAAAATTTCTTGCCTGGGAATATTGAACGTGCCTAATTATTAGAAGAACATGAGAACAAAATGGAATGCTGCACTAGG